AACCCCATCCCAGCCCATCCCAACCCCTCCCGGCTCACCGTGATCCACCAGCCAGGCCATGCAAAGCGAGTTGAGTTTCTCATCAAAGAACTCCACCCCCTGTGAGACACCAGTGAGAACCAGTAAGAACCAGTAAGAACCAGTATAACCACTATAACCAGTTCCACACCAGTATAACCAGTATATGCCAGTATAAACCAGTACAGACCAGTATAACCCATTATAACCCACTATAACCCACTATAATCCAGTATAGACCAGTATAACCCAGTATAGACCAGTATAACCAGTTCGGACCAGTTTAACCCACCAGCTGCCCGGCAAGCAGGGGCATGTACTCGATGATGGCCCTGCCCGTGTGTCCCAGTCACACCAGTGTAACCAGTATAACCCAGTATACCCCAGTATAGACCAGTATAGACCAATATAGACCAATATAGACCAGTACAGTCTGGTCCGTACCAGCTGCCCCGCCAGCAGGGGCATGTACTCGATGATGGCCCTGCCCGTGTGTCCCAGTCACACCAGTGTAACCAGTATAACCCAGTATAACCCATTATACCCCAGTATATCCCAGTATACCTCAGTATAACCCAGTATACCCCAGTATAACCCAGTATACCCCATTATAGACCAGTATAACCCAGTATACCCCAGTATAGACCAGTATAACCCAGTATACCCCACTATAAACCTGTATAACCCAGTATAACCCATTATACCTCAGTATACCCCAGTATAGCCCAGTATAGACCAGTATAGACCAATATAGACCAGTACAGTCTGGGCCGTACCAGCTGCCCCGCCAGCAGGGGCATGTACTCGATGATGGCCCTGCCCGTGTGTCCCAGTCACACCAGTATAACCCAGTATAGACCAGTATAGACCAATATAGACCAATATAGACCAGTACAGTCTGGGCCGTACCAGCTGCCCCGCCAGCAGGGGCATGTACTCGATGATGGCCCTGCCCGTGTGTCCCAGTCACACCAGTATAACCCAGTATAGACCAGTATACCCCATTATACCCCAGTATAGCCCAGTATAGCCCAGTACAGCCCAGTACAGCCCGGTCCGTACCAGCTGCCCCGCCAGCAGGGGCATGTACTCGATGATGGCCCTGCCCGCGGGGCCCAGAGAGACCACACCAA